ATACCAACATATGACCATTTACTGCAATTTGTTATTCTTCCATTTATTTACATATAGCAGCTGAATCAGAAGTTCACACACATTCATAGAAAATAGCTTACTTTAGGGTTGCTAAATAAGGTGGATATGCAACTGGGGCCATCTTGCATCTTGGTTATCATTTATAGTGAAAATTACTTCTGTTATATTATTGTGTATTGTATACTAATTACTGTATTATTTTTTTGCTATTACAATTGTTTATACATTCTTATGGACTATTTTATTTCTTAGCAGACCCTTTAAAGTCACAACGAAATGGAAGAAGTATTTTCTTCCATATTGTGACATATTCTAGTGTACTGTATTTTTTACCTGAAGGTCCAGTGCTTTTTGATTAAACATTATGAACATTATATTTATAACATTATAAACATTATTTTAAAAAAGAAGAAGAAAGAATCATTCACAAAAAGATCAATAACATATATTTGGAAAATAGGGCGAATTTTTACTTCATGCCAACTTTAAGATAGTAGTCTATGCTGCAGGTACTGAAATCAATATTTCATGACCAAATTTTTTTTTTTTTTTTTAAGTATTGCACTTATGTTGGCAGCTCCACGTCTGCTAAAAAATCAGAGGTGTCAATCACTGTAAGCTCTTTCTTGACCATAATGTCTGTATGGAGAGAATCTATGTGGTAAGTATTTGTCTTTTTTTTTTAATGATTGCGCAAAAGCATGTTCCAACAATCCTTAACATTCAGCTTGAGTCAATGTGGATCTCTCTTGACGTTAGCTAAAATACATTTTGTGTGCCTGAGCTGTATCTGCGCTTCTTGAAATATTTGATAACACAAGAATTATATAAGAGATTTGGTCCATGCTAGTTTCACAGTTAGGATACACCAGTGACTTCTCCATTATCTCAGCATGATACCAGATCTGCTTTCAGTTGCAAGAAGAGGAACTATTCTGAGGATAGCTGGGAAAAGGGCACAAGCTGAACACAACAATGGCAGATCTTTTGTTGCTTGGTCATGTGGGCTGAGGGAAGCGGATGTTGGATATATAGCCTATACCTACTCTGGTATAACTAATGCTAAAGCAGAGTCAGTTGACAAGCCAGTCTTGAGTAGCTCAGTGGAAACTGGAAACAGTTCAACAGTAATTTTTTAAACATTTATCATTCATTTTGGCATGCATGCAATTTAATGTTTTACTGGCAAGCTAGAACAAAAAAATCACTTGATTTTGTTGAGTCATTTAAGGGGCTTAATTGTCACTTAAGCACATTATCAATAAAGTATCATTTAGAAAACAGATTTACCACTGTGATTTACAGAATATGTATTGGATTTACATTTATATATGTCCCCATGAGGATGTTTCCGAAAATGTAAAAAATGTTCATCTGATGGGTTAGAATATAGCATTAGAATATACAGTTTGTATAGTAAATAAATGATGTCTATGGAAAGTTCCCATAAAACATGCAAACCCAATGTGTGTGTGTGTGTGTGTGTGTGTGTGTTAATATTAATGGTTTAATTTAGATTATAAATATGCATCATTTGCAAATGCTGCTTTGCCATTTGAATATTTTGTTTTCCTAATTTTAAGAGTTCATACTTTTAATTCAGAATAAACATGTATTTAAATGTTTTAATTAATTCATTATTATATGTACATTATTTAAAGATGACTCAATTTGATAATTTGTCATAAAATTTAAATGCACTCTATAAGACGTCATATGAGGAATCGTAAAAGACTGAAATATTCTTCTAAATTTATAGACCTGATTTATTTTAAAAGATTTTCAGATTAAAATAATGTTATTTTGAGGTCTGGGATTTTCTGGTTTATGGCTGATTTTTGGTATACCTTTTCTTGAACCACTGTTCACTTTAGTGTCCATCGCTTGGGAATGTTAGAGCCCTGGCTATGTTGGCATCTGCAATGACTGCGTATCACTGCAGAGGACAGCCTAAATGAGAGCTTTTTTAAACCCGCACAGACCTGACTGTAAGGACACACACCTCACCACAATCCCCAGTGGGGTGTTCAGCCCTCGACCTGCTGAAATAAACAGCTGAGGATCTCTGTTTAAGTTGATGAGGTCCAATCAATTTGATTAATGAGTTGCTGAAGGAGGAATAGGAATGAGAGAATCTGCAGTGCTGCACTGCAGGAGGGAGCGGATATTGGTCAGAGAGAGACCCCTGCTGTCCGTGTGACACTGATCAGTGTTTGGGGACGCTGCTTTTTCTCAAAAGTGGTTCTGTAGGCCTGAAATATTAAAGAATAGACCTGATCGATTGTCACTTGGGAAGTAAAATTATTGTTTAATTTTTATTATTTGTTTGATGTTTTTCAAATGTAGTCTGAGGAGTTGCAGCCAGGAGGTGAAGAAGTCAAGTTAATGAAAGCTGCAACTGTTTAACAAAAACTTGAATTGTTCTACTGTCAGTAGCCTACTGTGGCCTGCGTTTTACAGTGAAATCACATTTTAACTGCACAATTGGCGTCAGTTGTAAATTATTAATTTGAAATTTGCCTCTATCTAATTTCCAAGTAATTTTTTTATAGCTGCTGTATATCAATTTGGCAGCCCATCAGGAAATACCCTGGATGTCTCTTGCTCGTGTCCCCCTGGAGTCATCATGTCCCTCTATCATGTGTCTCTGGATCATGTTCCTAGATCATTAACATCAGTGCCGAACAGGGTGTAGTAGCGACGCTACTTTTAAAATCATCGCTATGCTTGTTTAATAGGAACACGCGATGGCAGATTGGACAAATGGTTCGCTCATTTGAGTCGCTTTTTTGTTTTCCAGAATGCGTCAAATGTAGGCTAAGCACAACGATCCATCGGTTCGAGAATCTCAAGCACTGCATCGTTTTTAGGTAGGCTTGCTTATAAGGAGAACAAAAAGAGCGCTGGATAAAGTGGAATATTTAGCTAAAATCCACTAAAAACCCTACTAGTAATGAAGAAATTCTTTCAGATCAACAGCTTGTGAACAACTCCATGCCTACAGGTAAAAGACACGAAAGTGCTTATGTGCATGGTAAATCATTTTTTCCCCCCAGCAAGTATAACAACTATTGAAGCCTATAGTGCAAACACACATGAATATGGTTATCAAAGTTCGGAACAAGATGTTGAAAAAAAGAAATTTGGTATGCTTTTTCAAAACACCTTGCTGTGCTTTGTGTAGCCTAGTCAATAACTAAACACTGGACAGGCTAAAGTTGTATTCCTGTAGGGGTAATACATCACAAAATAATAAATCACCCCCAGATACATCATCCATTTTTATAATAGATAATATTTGAGCAAAGATGGTTGTTGAGAAACAAGGGAACAGCATATTTAAATTATATATATATATTTAAATCTAATGATTAAATGGAGCTTGCCTTGTAGTTGAACTATTTAGCTTGGAAAGATGCATTTTTAAAGTAGCTTCCCCAACACTGGTGTCAAAGTACGTTTATCACTGATTCTGTGCAGTTTGGAGACGATAATAAAACAAAACAAAATAATAAAACTAAAATGTGATGTTTTAGATGTTTGTTTTGATTTAAATTGTGTATTCATGTAAAAGAATGATATAAATAGCCTAAATATGCTGTGCATATGCAGTCAGTGCAATAACAACAAAGCTTAGCATCTGTTGACATTTAGTGGAAATCAACAGTCTGGGGTTCAGAGGTCATCAATTAGTGGAGAAGTGCTGGGCTGCAGTCCATGTTCAGATTCCAGATTGGTTCTAGAAGGGAATTGTTAGTGTTGCATTTTCAATTATGCACTGTATATTGGGCAAACCTGTCTTGATAGTCTTTTATTTAACTTTGTCAGTCTATTTAATCTATTTCACCTTCTGTATTTAGGATTTATAATTTTATACTATTGCTACCAACCTAGAAATGTTCAATAAATATTCCTGAATTGCACATTGTCTATTTAATTGCATAGCCATAGAAGATATTGTCTCCTGAAATAGTGCAAGTTATGATTGTCCGGAAACTTTGCTGGGAAGGACATTTAGAGATTGGACTTCTTCAGACTTTAATCAGTTTAAGACCCTGTTATACTGATAAAAAATGCTGAGCAAAAATACCACTTTCATTTGGCACAGAATTCAGCATTTTTTCCTCAACTTATTTGATCATCTCAGCCGTAGTGGGACTGAGAGAATTATATATGTATTTTCCTTTTCGAAGTGTTACGGAAATCCTTTTATTCCTGACTATAATGTTTTTTTCTTTAGCACCTGACATTGAGTAATTATTCAATTATTAACTCCAGAATTTGTTCTGATAAGTGAAGGGATTCATTTTTAAGCACAGCTGAGATTTACCATTATTTTCTTAACTCAGGTGTAAACCAGAGATCGTAATTATAAATAGGGTCTTAATTAAAATATGCTAATTTGCAGGTTGTGCATGAAGTCCTGAATCGAGTATGGAGGTCTTTTAGAGGACAACCAGCAGTGAGACCTGAAAACACCTCATTCGTTTCAGATTAATCTTCAAAGGGTTTTCATCTTTATTTATGAGAATCTATCATAATTCATGTTAAATATAAAAATGATAATTTACCTGTTTTTATTTTACATGGCATGGGAAAGTGTGAGCTACATATTTTGAGTAAAGGCAAAAACTACTTGTCATGTACACTTGCATAAACAGTTTTCACCTATAAGGGGTGCAAATGTTCTCCAAAGATATTAAATGGTTTTCTTTTTTAGTCTTCTAAATTCTACAGTAAGCAGACAAACTACCCTCAAATACCCTATTATATATATTTAATAATTTTACATCTTAAATAAAAGTTTTAATTGGAGTCTAATTTACATTATACATGTACAGTACTAGCACCCCAATAACTGACATAATGTCATGCGGTTTCCTTTACAGGTGCAGATAGGAATGTAGCTAGGTTACTTTTATCTCTTTATGTCTGTTGTTTTAATACTAAACAACTTTCACCTTGGTTTTCAGGGTTGGCTCCAATGTCCAAAGTACAATAGACAGAAACAGCAGTTCTTTTCACTGGTGTTCTTTCTAAACATACTGTAGATTTAAAGCATGAAGGAAGAGATGAGAAACATGGAGAAACATGAGAGGAAGGGGGTGAGTACTTTTTTTCTAAATATTATATTTCTGCAACAAATAAAATTAAAGCACTTGTTTTACATTTTGATACTCCCATTTTGAATAGCTAACAGACAGACAACAATTAACAGTATTTTTTTGTCATCCAATATGCTGCAGCAGCTTCCATGACTTAAAATGAATGTTTAAACTAGAATTTTAGTAGCATTTACATATTTTTGAACTTCATGCAAATGTGCAGAGGGTGACGCTGATCCTGGCTGCAGCTTCTTTGATTGCTGGGTTTGGTTCGTCTTTTCAGTATGGATACAATGTGGCTGTGATCAACTCACCTGCCCCGGTACTGACATTATATTATATTATATTATATTATATTATATTATAATTTATTATATTATATTATTGCATATTTAAACATTCACCTCTGCTGAACTTTAATCTGATATTCTGATAAAAGGAGATGCAGCTTTTCTACACCCAAATATATGAGAATCGTTATGGTCCAATGTCAGACAGTCTCCTGACCCTCCTGTGGTCCGTTACTGTGTCCATGTACCCACTGGGTGGGTTTTTCGGATCTCTCATGGTAGGCCCATTGGTGAACAAATTCGGAAGGTAATTGAGGTGAATTGGGGAAATGAGTTGTTTTTGCCAATTGTATCCCAATCATCATTCACCCTAACTGAGGTAATTTTCTTACAGAAAAGGCACACTCCTGTTCAACAACATCTTCTCTATTGTTCCTGCTATAATGATGGGTGTGAGTGAAGTGGCGGGGTCATTTGAGATCATCATTGTTGCACGCTTTTTAGTCGGCATTTGTGCAGGTCAGTTAAATATCAGAATGGATCAGCTATACTGTATGTTTAAGCATGACAGTGTGTGACTGTGTTCTCTAGGCCTGTCCTCCAATGTGGTGCCTATGTATTTGGGAGAGATCGCTCCCAAGAATTACAGGGGGGCCATTGGGATAGTGCCACAGCTTTTCATCACCGTTGGCATCCTTGTCGCCCAAGTGTTCGGCATTCGCAATATCCTAGGAAATAAAGAAGGTAATGCACAGTGCATGGGATGTTTGCTGATTTATTTTTCTTCCGACTATACAGTGCAAAAATGGCCACTATTGCTGTGCTGTTTTGGTGGAGTTCCTGAGTGCAGTTGGAAAAAGCGTGCCCCTGCTGCTCATGGTGATGTGTAATGTTCTCTCTTTAGGCTGGCCCATCATGTTGGGTCTCACAGGGATTCCAGCTGCCATTGAGCTGCTGCTTCTGCCTTTCTTTCCCGAGAGCCCACGCTACATGCTCATACAGAAGGGGGATGAAAAAACTGCCAGGAAAGGTACAGGAGGAGTTATTTTGGTCTCCCATGTCAGAGCACACAAAGAAAATGTCCGTTTCACAGCGGGATGTGCACCAGCGATGAACTCATCAAGATTGCAGAGGTTTTATGATGGAGTAGGGCTGGCTTTATCAAGTTTATTTCTTATGTTAAGAGTTTACAACATTTGAACACTCAACTTGTTTGTTCCTTTTTACACCTCAAGGTCTTGTGTACCCTGCAAAAATATTTTTTGTCCTTTTATATATATATATATATATATATATATATATATATTTACTGTATATATTTACTGTATATATATTTAGTGTGAATACAGGCAGACACTTTCTAATCATTTGTTTTTGGTATTGTTTTTTAAATATTATTCTATTGATGTAAATGGCTACATCATCCCATACTATTCTGAGTTTTAGTGTTTTAGTAATGTTAGAATATGCTTTATACACAGACTGTCTTGAGTGTGCCATTGAATCATTCATATTCATTCAATCGATTCTTTTAAAAAAACACTAATTCATTCAGGAACAAAGCAAGTGGCTGTCTTTAGGAGAACGTCATTGAATCATTCAAATTCATTCAACCGATTCGTTCAAAAACACTGATTCATTCAAGAACAAAGCAAGAAGCTGTCTTTATGAGGTAGTGATTTAATCATTCACATTAATTCATCAGATTAATTTAAAAACACTGAATCATTGAGGAAGGAAACAAGTGACTGGCTTTATGAGTGCATCATTATCATTAACATTAGTTCAACAGATTCATTCAAAAACCCTGATTCATTCAGGAACTAAACAATTGACTGGTTTAATGAGTGCGTCATTGAATCATTCACATTTATCCAACCGATCCATTCAAAAACACTGATTCATTTAGGAACTAAGCAAGTGACTCTCTTTATGATTGCATTATTATCATTCACTCACATTAATTTAACCTATATTCAAAAACACTGATTCAATAAGGACGCTACACCAATAATGTAACTCGGAGATGCAATGGCTTATTCTGCTTCAGCTTAGTTTAGATAGTTTAGATCAGAGCAAAAATAGACCACGTAACCGACAAAATTGTTTCTAAAAAATGAATGTTAGCTACTCAATATTAACCTCTTGTTCACTGAACTGTAGTAAAAGCAATATCTCACTAGCGACCGTGCTGTTGGTCTGAATATCAACAAAGCAGTGTTGATATTCGATATTCACATATTCTGTTATTGCTCTTGTGATACTGCTTAAACCAACACTCTGATATGTTGTGCTGTGTTTTAGACCTGCAGCGGCTGCGGGGCTGGGAGGATGTGGATGAGGAGCTGTGTGAAATGCATGTTGAGGATCAGTCAGAGCGAGCAGAAGGTCGACTCTCTCTGCTCAACCTCTTCACCTTCCGCTCACTGCGCTGGCAGCTGCTGTCTGTAATCTTCATGAACATGGGTCAACAACTATCAGGAGTTAATGCCGTAAGCACCACTTTGAAACCGCACACAGATAATACTTTTCAACACATTTCTCTTCAGAAAGCAAATATTTTCAAATATGTTTTGCTTAACTAAATCGTAACTTTAACCCCATCTTCAGATTTATTACTATGCTGACAGCATCTATAGCTCAGCAGGAGTGAGGGAAGATCACGTTCAGTATGTGACAGTCGGAACAGGAGCTGTTAATGTCTTCATGACAATAGCAGCTGTAAGCCACTTTTGGTGCTCTTCATAATTTGATACCCCCTCTTGATACCCCTTATTTACATAAAAAAGAAACGTGTAAAAAATGTGATTTTCTGTAGGTGTTCATAGTGGAGAAATCTGGCAGAAGGTTGTTGTTACTGATCGGCTTTGGCATCTGCTGTGCAGCCTGTGTTCTCCTGACCATAGCGCTCTACTTCCAGGTATAACAATGCTGTACTTACTCCAATACAAACTAGGTATGAATGATTTATCGGCCAATATTAGGCATTTTTAGAAACTAAATTTTATATATATATATATATATATATATATATATATATATATATATATATGCCAATATTGTATATTTAATTGTGCGTGACAGCATGCTCTGTTTGTGTTTGCCCTGATTTTACATTTAGATTAAAGTTAATAATATAACAATGAATGCTCTAAATGTAATTTAGCAAATATCAAAATTCATTTAGATTTTTCATACTGTACATTGGGATGTTGGAATGTTGTGATGTGGTTAAAATTATTGATTTTAGTTTTTTTTATTTAGACAAAATTATATATTTTGAGACAATATTTTAATATTAAAATATTATTAAAATTAAAATATTATTGCCAAAATAATGTCAGAGTAATATTTTAATATTGTTATGACATTATTTAGACATAATATTTTAGTATTAAAATATAATTAAACTTAAAATATTGTCTAAATAATATCAGAATAATATTTTAACATTATTATGACATTATTTAGACATAACATTTGAATATTAAAATATGATTAAACTTAAAATATCATTGTCTAAATAATGTCAGTAATATTTTTAAATTATTGACATTATTGTGACATATTTTAATATTAAAACATAAATAAAATTAAAATGTTATTGTCTAAATAATGTCCAAGTAATATTTTAATAGTATTATGACATTACTTAGACATAATAGTTTAATATTATTTATTTATTTATTTCAAGCTAAATAGTGTGACAACAGAAAAGATACACAATAATAACAAATTATACACGTATGCTTGAAAATGGAGTGGGAAGAAGTAAAACTTATTAAACCCCACCCCAATCTATAAAAGAATTTATACAAACAAATAAAGGCTGCTTCCTTCAGCAATAATCTCAAAGAGAAAATAATATATATAAAAAAAAAAGAATAATAATAATAGTAATAATAATACCTCATTTAGAAACAGTGGTTGCACAGGTCAAAACCATACATTCATACCATACATATTAATAATATACAGATATTTCCACAGGTAACAATGATTATCCACAGGTAACAATGATTATCAAATACCAACAATGGTAGACGAAATACCACAAGGGTACATAACAATGATTATCAAATACCAACAATGGTAGATGGAATACCACAAGAGTACATAATGACGAACAACTACCAACAATGGTGGACGGAATACCACAAGGGTAAATAAATAACAACTAATCCAACAATCCACACAACATGAAACAATCAAACCTCATTGTCATTGTAATGGAACCAGATATTAATATATAAATACAATTAAAATGTTATTGTTTAAATAGTCAAATATTTTTACTATAATATTGTAATATTAAAATATATTTAAACTTAAAACAGTATTGTCTAAATAATTTAATAGTAATATTTTAATGTAGGTCTTTTATTGGATATTGTCCATTGCATATTATCTGTATCGATCAGAATTTTAATTTCAGTCCACCCCTAATACAAGTGCAAAGGATTCAGATCGGCTCATTATTATGACCAATCACATTCCCTTTAACTGAATAAGTGAGTTTCCTTATGTGGCCTATTATGATTGTAATAAATTCTTGTTTATAGACAGATGGCTGTAAAAGCTCAGTCCCAACAGAGATTTTAATTTTAGAGCCATGAATGTGCTGGCCTGACAAATTTGCCTCTTGGGTCTATGTGAAATGCAAGGCTATAAATGTGGTAGACTAACTGCTGCACATTCCACCCACAGAATACTATGGACTGGATACCCTATGTCAGCATCGTTTGTGTCATTGTTTACGTCATCGGACATGCTATTGGCCCAAGTGAGTTCACGCCAATCCCGTCGGGGCATATTGCAGATGCACGGGGGGCTCGCTGCATCTCAATAAATCCACTCCCTCCCTTTCATTTGATTGTATTCCTTGGTGGGGAATGGCAATAGATTTATGCTGCAGTTTCTAGGATTTTACATTAAAACCCAGGAGTGAATGTAAGAGAAGTGCTTTAAAGTGGCTGTAAAACAGATTGTAAAAGCAGCAAAGTGCTTCAAGCAATCTCTTTTCTCGCTGCCTATAGAAAGATGAAGTGTTTGATGATAGAACATCTAGTTTTGACAGCTTTTGCTGCATCCCTTCGCAGGTCCTATTCCTAATGTAATCACCACAGAGATGTTCCGGCAGTCTTCTCGACCACCAGCCTTTATGGTGGGCGGCTCGGTTCACTGGCTCTCAAACTTCACTGTCGGCCTGGCCTTCCCTTTTCTAGAGGTCAGAGGTCAAATGCAACACTTACAAACATTCACAGTATTGCACCAATTGATTGCACCAAGTTGTTAACTTATAAATCAAATCCTAAATTACCGTTATGAAACTTGTGGATCATCCAATAAAAAAAAATAAAAAAAATGTATTCCTTATTTGTGTCTACAGAAAGGCCTGGGTGCGTACAGCTTCATCATTTTTGCTTGCATTTGTCTCGCCACACTTATCTACATCTGGATGGTCATTCCAGAGACCAAAAACAAGACCTTTCTGGAGACCAGCCAGCTTTTTGCTAAGAGAAACAAGGTGGGAATTGTGTTGGAGGGTGAAGACTCTGAGATCAAAGAGACTGAAGGGGAAAGCAGCGGACAGGAAATTAAAAGCTCATTTTTCTGAATGGGTAGGGGGTCAATGACACAGGACACCAGCTTGCGTTTGTCTGCAATGCTTTGAAATTGTTTTGACACACTTTTACTTTTCAGTGTCTCTCATGCCAGGATTTTTGAACTCAAAAACAGGTCCTGTATTGAAACACTAAAACGTAATATTGTGCCTTTTCATTGCACTCTGTATTTGTGCTAATGACCAATAAGAATGCCCAAGAAAGAAATCTATCTTTTATTTTAAAATCAGGGTTAAAATGCACCAAATTCTTAGAAATGTACTCTTTGTATTCAAATTGTTTTCATATGGATTTTCATATTTTTGTAAAACTTTTATACCAATTTCAATAAAAGTTTAAATCGAATAATGTGATGTAACCATGAAGTAGACAAAAAGTAATATATATAAAAAAGTATTTACATTTATGGTAAAAAGTCTTGCATATTTTACAATCTGAACTAACCTTGCTTGTCATAAAGGTAAAATGATCTGATCTTTTATACATATAAACCTTGAGGGTCTGCAAGGACCCTCTATAATATAATTATCAGTTTTATGTTTTTCCCCCTCTGTATGTTTCTGCACAAAGCTGCTTCACTGCTTTTTTTCCTTTTCTAAGGAATATAAGAAACAAATATTTTATATTAAGATTTATTTTCCAGATGTCAGGAATTTTATTTCAGAAATTAGAAACATGCTCTTCATTGATATTCAAAGTTATTGTAAGTGCATTTTGTATAAATATGGAGATATTTTGTATAAATTGTAATATATTTTGAAAAAGATTCAGACATAGATTTCATTTGACCATTTATTGTGTATAAAACATTATGTTTTTATAAAACACAATGTTAAGAATGCAAATGTTGTTCATTGAAATTCTTCAGATATGATTCACATTATTCAATTGGGTAAAAATACATTGAAATGCTTTTATCTAAAATACTGAATAGAATATAGTGAATAGAATAGAATAGAATATATCTTTCAGCTTTAAAGGGACAGTTCACCCCAAAATGAAAATTTTATCTCACCCTAAAGTTGTTTCAAACCTGTATGAATTTCTATCTTCTGTTGAACACAAAAGAAGATATTTTGAAGAATGTCCCTTTAAGTTGCCATTATTCCCCTGGGAGAGAGTATACAGTTCAAGTTGGCAGAGCTAATATTGCTGATATTGACATTCGATTAAAAAAGTTCTGAGTCTGTGGCGCTCTTTTTCTTTCTTTCTTTCTTTCTTTCTTTCTTTCTTTCTTTCTTTCTTTCTTTCTTTCTTTCTTTCTTTCTTTCTTTCTTTCTTTCTTTCTTTCTTTCTTTCTTTCTTTCTCTCACTCAGTGGCAAACCTGCTCAGCCTGCAGCTGAACTCCCCCATACAGACTGAGCTGAGTGTTTCCCCAGCTCAGGACATTCCCTTTTACCTTGCCATTATCACACAACATTTGCTCACCAATATCTGCCGCAGTCAGCACATAATCCCATATATTTACATCGGTCATGTGGCCTACAAAAGCATCGGTATCTGAGATCCCCAAAAAGCCATCCTGGTCCTTTCCCAGAATGAGGGTTCCTCCAGCCAAAATGGTGTACCCTCTCCGAATGTAGCGTTCTTCCCCGACCAGTCCGTTCACCCACAGTTCAGCCCCTCCGTTATGTGACGCCCAGGTAAAGCAGTAGTTTGTCCAGTCATGTGATTGACGTTCAAATGGTAAATTAACAAACTCATCTCCGATCCAGAGACCCACTTCAGAGCCCAAAGTGATCATGAGCTCATTGTCATGTGAAGTGGAGTAAGACAGCACAGTGAGGTCTTGAATGGGTGGTATACGGACGTTCATGCAGGCTGTGAAGGATTGGAGGTTCATGGAGTGGGATAAGTTCACCAAAGCGTAGCTCTCCAAATTCTTTGTTGGGAAGTACAGGACCAGTGGTGATAGAGGTTGCTGGCCTTGAGAAGACAAGGTAACGTTACTTCGCAAGTTGATCAATTTGAAATCTCACTTGGTTACATTTGTTGTCATGGTAAAATTAAATATCTATTGGTTCAGTTGCAGCCATTGCAAAAAATACTCACCTGTACGTGTAGACCATGGTCCTTGAAAAGGATACACCAAATATCAATGACAAAGCTCATTTTAACTCAGAAACAGATGATTAATGTATAATGAGAACCACACACATCACATTTAAAGGGACAGTTCCCCCAAAAATGAAAATTCGGTCATTTTATTTACTCACTCTTGTGTCATTGCAAACCTGTATGACTTTCAATCTTCCGTGAAACAGGTTTTTGCAGAATATCTGAATTGCAATGTTTCATGCAATGAAAGTGGATGGTGATGATCAGGGGCTGTCAAGATCCAAAAAAGATGAAATACGACTCATACTTTATATTCCAAGTATTCTGAAAAGTGTTGTTATTTATTAAAACTATAAAAAAAACTATTTAAAAATTGTTTTCATGAATTGAAATAAAGCTGAAATAAAATAAAATATAAATATGAAAAACTTAAACCTAAAAAAACAAAAATTAAAATGTTGCCCCTTCAACTACCTGAACCAACTATGATACTATGATTATTAAAGCTAAAACTGAAATAGAAATATATTTGAAAAATAATAATAATAAAAATGACAACAGCACTTAACAAAATGACTAAAACTTTAGTAATCTGAAAATATAAAAATAAAAGCTAATTCAAAATATGGATAAAACACTATAATAGTATATAAATAATACTAAAATAACACAGTTTTTATAGCCATATGGTAGATTTGTTTGAGGAACAGTCACAAATTTAAGTCGTTATTCGCTGCTTGACAGCTTTGGTCACCATTCACTTTCATTGTATGTAAAAGAGCAGCTTGTACATTCTGCAACAAATCAATTCTTTTTTGTTTCACTGAAGAAAGGATGTCATACTAGTTTTTAAAAGACATGAAGATTTTTTTTTTTTTTTTTTTTTGGTGGACTATCCCTTTAAGATTACCTGTAATCTTGACATTTCTCATGAAAAGTTATACCTGGAACCGTTTTTTTGTCCAGTGACACAATAAGGCTCTCAATCCTTTTAAGCTTAGCCTCAATCTCCTCTTGACGGCAAAATCCTGCAAGAAACCAAAGAGGAGAGACAGAAAACACACTCAGGCACTGCAGACCTAACAAAGAGAGTTTTTCCTAACTGCTGGAAAGGACGAAGCTCTGCCCTAACCTCCTTTGCCCAGACGTGGGAGGAAAGAGGACTCCACAACTCTGTCATTCAGAGGCTGGGCCATGCGGTAGTCGTTCCACAGGGTCTTATTTTCATGGTCCATTAATGTGCTCTCCAATTTCCTGATCTGAAGGTCATCGCATTAAAAGTTCAGGAAACAGCAAAAAAGATCGAAAACTATTTCATGTGAACTTTTTAAGGCACCTGATTGTGAGAGAGGGTGATAGGCGTTTCAAATACTGTCCACAGAATGCTCTCGTGGCACGGCGGTGTGGTGAGAGAGCCCTCATATCTGAAAAAGTGACTGAGGTTCTCTGGGAGCATGGAGCGTACATTCAAGTTAGTGATATTCATGGCCTGACCTGCAAAGAGCAAGAGAAAAAAATATAGAAAAGAAGTGCATAGACAAGACGCATGAGCCACATAGAATTAAAAGATTTTGAGATGCTCATCCAAAATGTTTTGCATTACCTGCATACTTGATGTTTGCCAGGTTAGCAAAAAAATCACTGTAGTATGTGTTCTCAAAATGCCCATCCTAAACACAAAGTATCCATATATCAAATATACTGCTACATGCAAAACACTATATTTGATTTTATATATATATATATATATATATAATACGCAATTATATATATGTATAAACAAATATATATATATATATATATTTATATCTATATATGTTGAAGGTGATCAACATCATTGTTGATCCTGGAACAACATTCCAAACAAGCAGTCAGATTTGAGGGATCGGTTTACAGTTAATGTCAAGTTTAGGCTTGCAACAAGGCTTAGGGGCTTCTACACATTCTTATTCACATATTATTTCTCTCTGATTTTAGGGATAAGTTATGGGTAGGTTTAGGGGTAGGAATAGCATTAGGACTATGTTTTTGGAGAGGAATGTTGTTCCAGGATCAACAAAACATGATCCAGGAACATGTCTTACTTGGCAAAATCATATATATATATAATTCTTTTTACAATTAGTTGAAACTGAATGTAGTGTTGAAAACTAAATAGTACATAAAATAACACATCATTTACTTATTAAACTAGTGCCATATTGTTAATTGCTATTAAACTATGTATATGTGAAATTGCCTAAACCATTCAGGTGTAAACATTCAGATAAAACATTATGTAGTGGTTTCATGAACACACTATTGATCATTATTAAAAGCCCAGCTATTACCCAAGCCGTTGCAGAGAAAGACATGCAACTGAACTACATATAGAATGCCAATAGTTGTGTTACTAAAACAATGACCTCCCCCATTTAATGGAAGTGGGAGCTTGTGACCTGCACACAATCTTGTGGGAACAGAATGTCAGGCAGTAGGCCACCACACAGCGGTCTGATCAATTAACCCATTTAGTTCAGAGAACGCAGATGTCTAACTTTACTCAAGCTGTGTGCTTCAGGCAATGTAGGGTAATATGGTGCACAGCCCAGCTCTTAAAAGAGGATTCACACAGACAAAAATGTACATTTTAATTTAGTTTTTTTTCTGTAGTTATTTGCAGATAATTTGCTTTCCCTTATTCCCATTAGATGGCAGCATTGCACCAAAATAAATGAATGAATAAATAAATAAAAACATTATTCCACTTTCCAATTCCAACAAGATGAAAAATCATATAGAGCCAATCTTACCTCATAAAAAAAGGCTAAAACTGCAAGACCATCTGGTTTATCTATGGCCTCTTGGAAGCTACTGTACTTATTAGAGTTGTAGTGGACCACGTGGAGCTGTGACACAAGAAGTCAAAGAGAAAAAGTGTTAGAAACTGCAATGCAAATTGAGTAATGAGAAGTTAATAAACGTATGTTACACAAACAAGCCCTTCCGTATTGCTATACTAAAGTTTCTCAATATTCTTGAGCAAGTTAAATACAAGAATACTATTTCTAATCCAGTTAGAACAATGATAACTGCATATTTGTCTAAAATAGATCCCAACATATTAAAATTTCAGGCACATGTCCAGCAGCACTTGAATGGATAAGTCCCCAGCCCTACCGTCACTAAAGAAAACAATGCCTTAAAAATACACCACTGCTATATTTACAACTAGGACATCTCCAAATGTTATTTATGTGTTCATGTGTCAGGCCTAAGTGAACGATGTACTTCTGCCATGTAGCGGATGCCGTCCATTGTGTGCTCTGATCCACTGGCCTCCAAATCCCAGCCTCCCCAGTGCAGATGCATTTGGACAGCAGTGTAGTGGTCTGGAAACCCCTTGGTAATCATCATAGTCTGTGGCAGCTGAATCTCCACTGTCAAAAACAAACAGGATTGTGGGCTATATTCATGAAAAGCTAACCTAACCTGTGAAGATTAGATAGAGTAAGAAGGAAGCATGTATTATGTACAGACAGAAACGGCAAAAATGCTCTGTTATTACAAAATAGATAGGCCTAAGTATTTTTGACACGAGATGGCGACAAAGCTTAAGGTGTAGGTAGATAACAGATCACCTAACAGTTGCAGGTGGTAGTAGGCTCCTGTTATAAAAGTAAATAAATAAAAAAAAGTGTAAATCTCCCAATCAAAATAAGTATTTTTAATACAAGAATTCATACCAGAATGTCCATTGTTCTTCATGTGAAAGATACCATGCATGTCATCATACCCTGTCAGTTCGAGCTGTAGCAGTCGCGGATTGTAACGCACTTTGCGCCGCTGTATGTCAATGGGAGACTGTTTGTTGCCGCCGCACACGTGAAACTTTTCTGCCCAGTGCTTCTGATCCAGTTCTCCTTCTGTATGAAAAAAGTGAGTCATTTCTTGACAGATAATTGCATTCCAAAAATTACCATTTAGCCTACTACATATTATGTTATCATTTAACAGATTTTTAAAACGCAGAAATGTTATACTTCACCTGGTAAAAATAGAGTTGAGCTGTCCGACCATATTTATCTTTAGATATCTTTAAGAACTCGTAGAACAAGTTCATTGTCATTTCACAAATACAACTTTGACTTTGTGTTGGTGCTACAATAAAACTATAGCTGTGTGAAACTATTTCATATAAAGCTGAATGTTTATGTTAACTGTTGTAAGTTTGCATTGCCTTTTTATGGGCTAGAGCCAGACTGTTGTAGGCTATTAGGCTACATTAACTTTTTATGTGGGCATCGGTACTCGTAAGGTTGATGGTGTGAATATTTGTCCCAAAAAAAGAGAGAAAAAAGAAAGCGAGCACTTGCCTGAATATGTCCACTTTTCTCCATCTATTCCAGCCGATGCGAAATTCACCAAACCGGCGTATAACAGGACCACAAACAGCTCCATGCTGGAAGTGCACTCAGTCTCAGGCTGTTCCCTCGTTGTTGTAAAGAGGTGCTACTGCTGCCTGAGAGTGACATCGATTGCAACGGTTTACACCCAGAATGCCAAAGGCGTGTAGTAACATGGTAATTTACGGAAGCTTTGACGAATTGGCAAATAATGTTTGAGGCAGTTAATAGTTCTCAGGATCACCAACAGGTCAGTCTGGTTTTGTTCAGTGGTTTCCCCTTTCCCTTTTTCATGTTTAGCCTACTCTTAATCGTAGGTTATTAATGGTAAAAATATATACTTAGAAAGGGTTATCCTTAACGTGTAAATCTATTTAAAATATGCTCACATGAGATGAATATATCAGTAGCCTAATAAAAGCTGATTTATTTTAGATCATAAAAATAACAACAATGGGAATTAATAGTAGCTAGTAAGCCTAAGCAGTTCCAGAAATTATTTTATGTAAATCAGTATTACACAAGTGTGACTATTTCATTTGATCAGAAAAGCTTCTACTGTAAGTTTAGGCATCAATTTCACAATTGCATTTCAGGTACTTTTTAAAAAAAATAATATCAACACTATGGCAAGCAAGGGCAGAGCAGCTTTCTATTTAAAGAAAAGAAAACCGATAACAGGGCAGCTGGTAGCAAACTCTCATCACTCAAACTTTTGTCAAGTTTCTTGCTAAATCAAACGTCTGGTAACTCTTTATTTTGCAGCGTCCTTGTTACACATGTTACATGAATTTACTAATTATAAATTATGCATATTTACATGCAACTAACCCTAAACCCCAACCATAAGTACATGTAGTTAATTATTATTACACAGTACTTAAATGCATAATTACACTGTAACACAGACACCTTAAAATAAAGTGTAACCCTATGTCTTATCCTGAATGAAGAGCTAATATGTTTTACTCATGAATAAAGATGTTTAACAGACCTAGACACTGTTGATGACAGCTGTCAGGACATGTTTTTACAAGTTGTTCCAGGGAAGTGGAGAAACTGGAGACAAAATAAGAGAGACTGCAATGACAAACAATACATTAAACAGTGCTTTAAAAATATTATTATAAATCTAACATTGTGACATTTTTATTTCAAAGCACTGAACCTACTGAAAATAATTTTAACAGAAGTAACAGTGGAAATATGCTGTTTGCGTATTCTTAAGACGATGTAAAACAAATACACAAATTAGGACAAGGGTATAAAAAAATCTGGTAGACATTTGGATGTCCCAACACTGTTATTTTAATTATCGGATGTGGAATCCACTTCAAACAGGCCAGGCAGTGATTAAACGAGGTACTCATGAGTGAGAGAGGTCAAAGGTTACTTTGAAGACTCTAGAGTTTAGTAGCTGATAATGAAGTAAAGGTGCTCCAGTTAGTCATGTCAAGAGCTTTGCGTATACTGTCCATTACTCATAGACCTCTGTGAAAACATGTCTGGAGTTTGCAAAAGCCATAATAGTAGCATAGTTGCAATGAGGGAGAACATGTTGTGATCAAGATGTACCTTTTACCTATATACAAAGTGAAATGAGGTGCAGAAATCTCCTGCTGTGGGACTGTTTTTTTGTCAGATCAAAAAGGTACAAAAAAATCTGATCTTAATCTGACATTGTTGCTTTTTTATATATATTTAATTGTGACATGCTTATAACATCAATGTTACTAAATCTAACTGACAGTAATCTGTGGTATTTTTCTGTATTTGTGAAGCAATTTCCAGTTTTTTTCTTTTTTAAGATTATAGCAGCAAGGGAACATGGATATTATACAAGACATCAAAGCTGGCAGTTCCTAAATTAGAACAGCAAAAAGACAGCACTCATCCAAATCTATAAATCTAGCAAGAGGTACAGGAAAATAAGGGTACACAAACAGATAAAGGTACAGAGGTATCCCCAGATTAAGGAGCCCATCTGTTTTTAACCTCATATTATTGATAATAAGAAGAAATTTTCTTGAGCACCAAATCATCTATGATTTCTGAAGAATCGTGTGACACTGAAGACTGGAGTAATGATGCTTTATCAAAATAGAAATACTGTAATAATATTTCACAATTATACTGTTTTCTCTGTATTTTTGACAAAAATCTTACCGACTCCATAACTTTAGAACAGTAGTGTAGATTTTGTCACAAAATACATATAAAAAGCTCTGAAAACTCATACAAACTTTCAAAATTGTATACTGCTTATTTCGTTTGAAGTGCCTGTCCTATCAGCAGCCAGAAGATGGCGCAGTAGTAATGTTGCTCAAGGTCATTCATGAATGAGGCTGCCATAGTTGAAGCTAGAAATCGCACATCATCACTTGGTCCATCGTGTGCGTTTGAGATGGGGAGATGACATTGAAAATGAGTTTATTACGAGAGTTTGGTTGTAAATGATCATTCTTACACACTGTGCCCTTCATATATTATGAAATGTTAGCCTATTGAATACATAAAATATAAAGTAATGATAAATACACTTAAACAAATAAAAAGATGATTAAGAAAATTAATGTGTATTTTCTATTTTACAAAGATCAGTGCTTTTACTAAGTAGGCTAAAATTAAAAAACAAAAAGATCTATCAAATTAATTATAGTAGGCTATCATTTAAACAACATATTATGAACAATATACCATTTGAAACTAGCGTGCAATCGAATGTACGTAATTTTATAAATCACAATGTAAACTGAGCTCAAAATGACATAAAAGCTGCCATGTCCAATCAGTTTTTGTTCACTCATGTGCACGCTCACTATGACGCATCACTGAAGTAGGTGATGCTCTGCACGTACTCCACAATGCACCAGTTTCCACCATAAAACACGAGAATACTCGATGCAAAAAGCTTCAAACACAACATCCACAACTAATATCCCCCATAACGGCAAGTGCATTTAATCCATAGCCTTTAGATACAATAAATAAAAGCTTTTAATCAATGAATTAAAATTTCCACATCCCTGTCGAAGGCGGAGTCTTGCCGGTTAAAAACGTGCCTTTTGCCATGCAATCTCATTAGCGTGCCGCGTGATGCGCGTCTGACCAATCACAGCCCGAGAAGCGCGCTCGCGCTGACCGCTTCCTGATGCTCAACATTTAACAGTGCGCAAGTCCATCAGCCTTCTGCCTTCTCTGCTCTGCACCACGGTCAGCATTCGACTTCCCTTGCACTGGTTAGGCCAGATAAGGTAAGGTGAATTCAGGGCGTGTGTTGTAGCTTTTATATTTTAGCAGTTAGAAACATTTGTCATGATAATTAAAATGTGCCAAATCAGTGGTCGTGATGTTCGACCGAGTTATGCAATTTTGAAGGTGATGCTGTCGTGCGGTGACGTCCTCTAGAATCTCAGTATTCAGTTACTGTTATCTAAATTTAACATTGCAACATTTATGTCACGCACATGTGAGTTATTTTTAAGAATAGATACAGCTGTGATCTAGGTTAAATTAAACATGTTTAATTAGAAAAGGCCATTTTATGTTGGAAGTAGTTCGTCTAAGGTTACAGCTGGTCTACCCGGTATTTTGACAGCAAACTAAACCGAGTCCCAGTTTGACACCGGACATAGGCTTTTAAACTGGAGACATTGCTGTTATTTATTTTGTAGCTTTTAAAAGTTGCAAATAGATTTATTTTAGACTGAAAGAAATGTAGTGACAGATCACCAAACCCATTTTAAAGTCCTGAATTTGAAGCTAAATTTAATGTAATTCTCATTATCAGTCTTAAAATTGATAGCAACACATTCTCGACCCACAGCAGACAGGAGGCCGGGCACTTGTTACTGTCTGTCTCAGTTAACCCAACCCACTGTGTTGTGGCCAGTGGGAAGTTTCCACAGACATTTAAGGCTACAGGATTTTCCATTGGTCCAAATGAAGTGGATGTTTTTTGTTGGTTTTATATGTTAGCACACCACGTTGACAGGACAGGAAATGGTGATGATGAGGAAATGAGTCTTGTGATATTCATGGGAAAGGGTTTTCTTGTGTCATCCTGGTCTGACAATGAAAATATGGGGTTTTGATGTATTAATGTTTGCCTACATGAGTAAAATAAATCCTTTGTTTGAGGGCACAACAGATTCAGAAAACTAATTATTTTAAAGAAAGTCAAGTAATTAATTCATTTGATGGATGATTAGTGTCCCGGATTAATTGAAACCTTCAACGGCATCATGCTTGAGCTGATTCAAGTGTTACTTCATATTTCCAAATGTCCAGTACAGCTGCATTTCTAGGTGAACAGGTGCTGACAGCTGAAAGGCTCTGCTTTTCTTGGCTGGAGAGGGAAATAGTCAACTGCAAGTCATTAAGTTAGTTTATTCCCAAATCTTGCTGCCTGTTGCTCATGTTGACTGTCAAAAAGGGGTGGATTACTCAGTTTGAATCTGTAAGGCCTCTGGTGACTGCATCAACTGAAACTCCAAATCATAAAAGAAGTTTATGCTGAATCTGATGGTGAAACAGTACCTTCTTCATCTTTGACTCAATTTGGAGTAGAGTAATAATTTCCTTGTGGGGAAATCACCATGAGGCCTTCAGTGGGATTAGCTTTGACCAAATGTGCAATATATAGAATAAACTAATTGTATTAAATATGAATAATATTTATAATAAAACTTAGGTATCACAACATCAGTGTACATAAAAAGTTTTTCTAGTTATTATATTAAAATGTGTTAGTTATACTAAAAGTATTAGTGTTTTTAAAGTTTAAAATTTAAATGTAACCTAAATATAAAAATGACTCGAAATGACTTGATATTATGGATATCGATATGAACCAATATGGTACCGGTATATTGTGCATCTCCAGCCTTATTTGTGTTATTTTGTGATTGATGTCTCTATCAGATCCTCATGTTCTTAACATGTTATTTTCTGCTCAGAAACTGCACCATGTCTATCCTGAAGATCCACGCTCGTGAAATCTTTGACTCCCGTGGAAACCCCACTGTGGAGGTTGATCTCTACACTAAGAAAGGTTTGTAATAATCAAATTGTCAAGCACTTTTAACATTTTCGAGCATTTTGTATTGTATTATTTACCGCAAATAGTTTTTTAATACTCAAAAAATAA